GCATAAGCCAGCACTATGTCCGTTCCCCCACCAAGTCGTCTCTTCTTTTCACTGTAGGGCTTTTAATATAATTATACGTATTATATATATATATATATATATATATATATAAAACTAGACAAAGCTTATGGTTGTACGGTAGTGAAGCATTAGTGCCAACACTGATGTTGCTGTCTTTGATAATGATGAACAAGCAGACCTGGTGGGGATGCGTTAGCCTGTGCTGAATGGGGCAGAGCGTGAAGACCAATAGTGGTTAAAGAACGAATCGGTTTTACGGGATATGTAATTGGTCATAGGTTCACACACCCTATCTTAACACGGTACAGCTAGACTAAACACGATGTCCTTAAAGCCCATAAGCATGATGAAATTGCTGAAGCTGGGTACAAAGGAGTCACCATTGGGAGAAATCTACCAAGTGTCTCGGTTGAAGCGTGAATACATGTTTTATCTTGAAGGACGGTAGTGCAACTCTGCATCGGTCCCTTGGCTTCCTGCTCTGCCCACTGTGTTATATCAAAAGGCACGGTAGCTCTACACAGCCCTTTATGGAGACAAAGGAAAATTATTACAACTGTATTTATAGGGTAGTCACAGAGTGTCCCACATGGTCGTGCCAGAATCTCCGTGAGGGGAGGAGAAGCGTCGAGTCCAAGATGCTCGACTAGGATTGGCTGTCATTCTGACCAATCAGGGCCTGCCTTCGTCTGGTCCGTGTCCTGCAGGTGACACATCCGTCCAAATGATGTGATGTTCGGCTATTGGGGACGGCTGGCCTCCGTACAATATAATAACTGTACCGTACGCTTCTCATTTTCTTCTATCCTGTGGTCTTTCAACCGCTGTGATGAGAAGCTCAACCATTGTCAAAAGCACTAATTGCACTTTGGTTACGGAAGATGTGAGGGGGATTCAATGTGAAAAATGTTTCCCCGCGGATTTCCTTCGTGGAAGTTCCTCCTAAAATGGGGTGCGAAATTCGTACCTTGATATTCAAATTGTCCTCTTTAGTAACTTGAAGATGCAGTAACTCCGCAACTGTCGAGTGTAAATCCAATCGTCATATGGAGTTCTTTTTTATCCGTGTCAAAGAAAACGCTTCGCCGGAGGCTTTCAAGTTATATATCTAATGAAAAAGATGGACGTAAAACATTAAAGATGTTTCCAGTCTTCATCACATCACAACTCGGGATGATGAAATCGCTCGTCAGCACACCGGGAGGGAAAGTATGCGGCGAACGAATCACATTCCTCACACTCAATGGTTTATTAACCGTTAGCTTGCTTCAGGAATTCGTGGGGTCTAGCAATTACTCGGGAGTACTTGAGTACGGCACGAGTTTATCCAGGAAGAAGGCGGCACACATAGACAACATATGTTTGACAAATTCGGTCTGTCAAACAACTCGGAAGCAAACATATCTGTTTATGCAGCCACAGGGCTCGTACCGATCCAGTGTATTGCGAATGTTGACAAGGCGCCGAGTTTTCCCGAACGTTCCAATTTTTAAACTTACGGAATTCAAAATCAGCTGTTTGTAGTGAGCTTGTCTTGACTACGGGGTATCAGACTTGGTTGAACTCTGACGGGTAGTCTCTGTGATGGAGGCCGTTTGTCTACTGTGTTTTATGACAGTGCACAACCAGTGACCAACCGCTGTTCCATTTGGCAACCTAAGAATTTACTGATAATGTTTGCAACCAAATTGATCAGCTCAGCAAACACACCAAGGGTCGTTTCTATGAGTGCTCGTTATTAGGAGAACCAGCTCCGAACGCGTTTCTGTGAGTGCTTGAATATTATTAGGAGAACCAGCTCCGAACGTGACGGGACTACCTAATAACCAATGAAATAACCGTTTTCGTTGAGACAGATTTCATTGGTTGGTCTTCACTCGCCCTTGACAGATGAGTTGTATACTTAGTATTACTTTTTTGACCCGGTTGCACGTGATCAATAGATCAGCCGGTCTGCACGTTCATTGATTTTTCCTGGTTCGGTCAAGTGAACCGGGCGATCAAGCGGCTATCCAGACCGGGGTTCGCGGTAATAAGAAGGCACTAAAGAGACTGTGGTTCACAACAAATATTTTCTTGGATATTTTAGCCTAGAAAGTTTGTTTTGGTGACAGAAATTAGTGATACTGGGGGTATGGAAATAAACTGAACTGAAATATGTGTGTGCGTGTTTGTCAACTGGTATGATCAGCCCACGAGCTGACTTGTTTTCGGGCTCTATCTAACTTTGAACTGCCATAAGGTGTCATCGTTCAGATCAATATCCTCGTCTAGCACGAATTATAAACCAAACTTGGCAATGACGATGATGTTCCCCATTAGAAGGCAACCACTAGGAACCACACTGAAAGCGTTCTTATGGTATTCGGGTGTTTTAGACTACTTTGGTGTGGGGGGGGGGTAGCGTTCTAACCGGATTTCCAGAAAATCGATAGTACCACGGAACTGGCCTTCACCATTATTGATTTATTGTGAACCACTTCATCTTACCCTTCATTTTATTACCATCAGCAGTATCCCGACTCTCCACTCAAGAAGAGTCTAGTGACGCGACGCTACAGCGCACCAGCTTTCCCTGTGATATTAATTGTCCAAAGAGTTGGATCTGTGTCAATGGCGTTGAATCTTTGCGCTGCAGCGCTTCGTCCTGCAAAATCTCAACCATTTATGGAACTAAAAACTGCCTTCACTTCTGATTTCGGGATTCTTAGTCCTTAAAGAAGGAAGGCAGTGAAAAACGGACTGCTTGCTTGCTGGTAGTTTGAGAGCATTTGGAAAATTTTAACGGAGATTTTGTCTTGTAAGTTTAGTCAGTTGGGCGGGGGCAGGTCGTCCCTCATAACCGAACATCACACCATTTGTACGGATGTGTCAGGTGCAGGACACGGACCAAACAAAGGCACGCCCTGATTGGTCAGAATGCCAGCCAATCCGAGTCTTGTATCTTTGACTCGACGCTTCTCGCCTCCTCACGGAGATTCTAGCACGACGTTGTGGAACACTCTGTGAATACCCTATAAATACAGTTCTAATAATTTGCCTTTGCCGCCATAAAGGGCTATGTAGAGCTACCGTGTCTTTTGATATATGTCCTAGTCGGCGGAACAGGAAGCCAAGGGACCGATACAGAGTTGCCCTACTGTTCAACAAGCCACACCACCAGTCCATTTTGAAGAACCGAGAAGCACAGCACAGAAATCATTGCCAGTGCATGCCCCGCAAACCTCCAGGGTTGTGGAACTCCGAAAGTTGTGGGTTTGAGATTCCCCGGGGTTTCGTGCGATACGTACTGCCGATCAGTTCCAAATAGGACGAAGCAACTGTACAACGCTTCCAGCTTTCACAGACGGGACGATATCCTCACTAAGACGGTTTCCTCCTAAATTGTCTTCTCGATTGTGGCCTCTCCTTTTTTTCCGTTTTCTCCCACAAACTCAGCCAACTATCGTGCGTAATAGATGAGATATCACGGAAAGTTTCCTCGTATGCGTATTGCCTTCATTTTCAGCGACGGAAGAACCTCTTCACGGCACTCTTCGTTACTGGATGATAAAATCTGCCGAAGCTTGCGAATTCGGCCACGATGCAGGATTTCTCATGGAAGGGCTACGCACCGAAAAGCATGGCTTTATTGGCCAGAGTGTAGGCCAATCAGAATCGCACACCTCATGTTGGCTCCATCACGAAGATTATGACTCATCCCTGTGGAAAACTGTGATAGCTCTATATAATATTAGCTGTAATTATCTGTCTCTATAAAAGCGTCTCAAGCAATCATGCCGTTTAGTAACCTATAGTGGGTGGAACAGCTGGCCATGGAAAAGCAGAGGAGTTGAAATTCGCAACATACTATTTGACTAAATTGGCCGTTCTCACCGTAACGGGTTCAATGGTAGAACAAATAAGACAGAAAAGAGTAGCTCTCTCGAGTGGTGATTTACAAGCGGCCCCAATTGTCGTGCAAATGCTTGCTGACCGAAGAATCCACCTGTGAACAAATATCCACCTACAGTCTTAACGACACCTTCGAGTTCGTCGACTACATTCCAGATGTCAACCGTTGTAACTAACAGAGGTGTTCCTTGGGTGTTTCGTTATCTTCTTACCAACGTTACTACCTGCGGTTTTTTAAACCGGAAACCATCACCTTACCCACTCAGACCGCATATTTTGAAGTTACTAATAAAATGTTCGATCAAAATTTTTTTCGTTCAATAGCTGGATCTCCACACAGATAGATGGAGTAACAGTGGTCCTTTCTTAGCTGAAATTATCGTTATGAGTGAAACTGAACGTGAAAGTTTACGCCCCTTAAACAAACAGATCCCAGTTTACGGAAGCCACGTTGATAACACTTTTATAACCTCTGATTCGAATACCATTACGTAGGAGCTACTTCTTGCAACCTTAGCTGACAACTTGTACACTCCAATTTCCCATCCATTCTCGTCTACGCGGCTATACCAACTGCGTCACGCGCCAGGCTTACGAACTTCAACCACATCGGGTCAAGTTGTATTCATGTTCGTACAAGCATCAAACACGAGGGGACACAATAAATAGGCATACAAGTGGACTCAACACATTCACTCGCGCGCACAGGACAGGAAGTCAACAGAGCTCCGTAAGTCTCCACGGCCACCTACGGAACACGTGTAGCAGCTATACTGCAGAGAAGACACGTCCCGCGTCCGGAACTTCACTCAAGAACTCTCAACAAGTGTCCTCAAACGATAAGTCTCTTTTTGGCTTATTCCACTTTTCGCACTGTATCTATTCTATCTATTCTAACTTAATTACGTCACAACTAGAGCACTAACAAAGGTACACCAAAAGCAACATGGCCGAACAACAAACTTACAGATCTGTGGAAATGCAGTATGAACGAAATCCAACCAAGCGTCTGGCGAACAGATTCCATATAATTTCCACCGTTGATAAGATATTTCGGAAAGACCAGTGTGGAAGAGAGGAATTTTCAAAATTGCCTGTTCACTTCAAACAATATTGTGTGGAGAGAGGATTGCCGAAACTGTCAGGCAAAAACCGAACCGTTCCACAAAAAGACCAGTTTGTACCGCTCAGCTTAGGATTCACTTGAATGGTGAGGGTTCGCTCAAAACTAACATCAAGGATGAGATAGTTGTGGGTCGTGCGACACGACGCCCACCTCAGAGGATTTGTCATCGTACAGTGGATCTCGCAAAATCAAGCACGTGACAAACGCGACTGGGGCAAATTCAATCGGCACGCATCATCATCTTGTCGACCCAGCTGAACAGTACAGCGTGATTTGTCCTGTGTCATCGAACCGCCTCAAGGTCATGACTCGAAAAGCACTAGTAATGGCCCAGCAATAAATCACACGAAGCCGCAGGTCCTCAGGGACGTCACGTGAAGGCATTAACGTTGCATTGGCCAATCATCAGCTGCTCCGGACGAATCCAACCAAATGATACAACTTAAATCACACTCTGATACCTTTGGAAGGGTACTTTCACACACCCCGTACATCATGTTCTATTCATAAGTACAGTTGCACCAGTCAATCTAGATCTTATCAGAAACAACTGTTTGTAGAAAGCACGATTTCGTGAGATTATCGTGGATTTCAAGGGGTCACCCGATGCTGTTTTATTACGGCAGATCAATCGAAGACTAGAGACACCGAGGCCGAACGCAAACGAAGTTGAGCGTACAACCAATTCGTTTTCGCCCTTTGAAGGCGAAGCAAGAGGACTCCGATTTGGCTTATTTTGTACAATTGTAGGTCAATTGTAGCCAGATACGAGCAGTTTGGTGTTCAAGAATTAATGGAAGTTGGCTAAATAGTTGGCCAACAGAGAGTTTCTTCGTCAACCCTACACGCAGCATCAAATGACGGAAAAATATCTTGAATTTCGGCGTTTCTTCAACAACATCAGATATTCTTGTGCAGCACATTCGACTGCGGAAAGTTCGCTGTTAAAACCATCTAAATTTGCGAAAAAGGGTGTTCGGTTCTGCAAAGGGTACTTCCATTGAAGAAAGTGTCCAGCACCATAAGCTGCGTTGGTTGGGACATGTGTTGCGTACGCCGAACCATCGTTTACCGAAGATAGTGCTGTTTTCCATGCCCAATTCAGAGTGGTGTAAACAGAGAGGGGTATGAAAAAGATCACCAGACGCTTGGGTGCTGTGAGTGCTACTCGCCTTCCAGGATGAGAACCGCGTGATCCTCACTGTGCCTGGTTTGAGACACTACAAGATATGGCTCCAACCGATGTCAGTGGCGTTCTTGTTGTTAGTTTCTATCCAGATTGCCTGAGTGAATGTCTGGAGGTGTAGGCACCTCGGAGTGATTTAAGCTAGCACTAAGTCCCTTCCCCGTCCACCTTTACTCTTTTCTTCACAATAAGGCTTTCAAATAAATCATGGTCGTACGGCAGTGAAGCATCAGTGTTGAACAATGATGTCATGCAGTCGATGATGATGATGATGATCGGTTCTGCATGGAACGTCGTTCTTTTGTAGCTAAACAGATCAGTGGATAAGAAGACATTGTTTTCCGATGAATGTCTTTGTTATACGGCAGAAAAGCGGAATAGTACGAGGACGGAAACCACAACAAAGAAAAAGGGGAAACCAAATAACCGGTTGAACGCGGGGCGGGGAGGGGACAAAAAATCGGAACGTATATAGTACAAACACCATATCCTTGAACGGAAGAGTTGTAACGATCGACCAGTGGGATTATGGAGCGGATGGGGTGTGTGTGTGTGAGGGGGGATCTAAACCGTGTCAAATACAACAGGTACAGATGGATCAACCGACCGGAAACTTCAAGGCCTGGAAATGCGGAACCTAGGTTGCAAGCAACGCACAGCCGAAGACCCAATGATGAATGAGGAGGTGTAGGCGAGTGAGTGAACGCGAGGGCCAAGTCGTCGGGACGTTGACCTGATATGTATTCGGTTAAAACACAAGTACGGAGGAGTGACATGAAATCATCAGTGAAACATAGCGAATCAGATCGAGATGTGTGTGTGTGTGTGTGTGTGTGTGTGTACATACAGAGGGGGGTCTTTGTGTCGGATGGGGGGAAACACAGCCATTGAACTGGATGCGAGGCCAGATATCGAATCCGCGCTTGCTAGGACAACATGCCTGTGGAACGGGCTTGTTGACGGTTGCGAGCGACACGACTTGACCAAAAATTAACTATGAGGTAACAAATTCGAGAAAAACTTTGATTGGCACCTAAGTACGGGAAAATAAAGATAGAAGTATGTTGAATGGAGTAAGGATGGGGTATGATCTACTCAGGCGGAATCACAGTGAGTGAATGGGGGTAGGAAAAAGGCACCGCAACGGAGCAGGAAGAGACGAACTAGGGCGGCAACTTCCGGAGATACTCCACCGGCCATTGGGACCAAGTCGCAGACTCCGGCAAACACTCGAGTCGCGTGACGATGGAAACGGGTCGCAGGAGTGAGGCGAGTTAGTTGGGTGATAATTAGGATTAGACAAGGATCCCAGGCCTGACGGTGACCGTCAACAATTAGGTCATGGTAGTAAGATAAGGCATCCAAAATGACACGATCCAGAAGCTCCTCGGTCTAATCAAACAAAAACAAAAAGAATTGAAATCATAAGAGTGTACAAATGGTTAAGGCGCAAACTTACTAAATAAGGGTTCAGGTTTCGAAACCAACCTTGGTATCTCGACTGCTCCTGACTAGGTTTGGGAAACCCGGTAGCACCTCGGAACTCGTGCTTCCTTCGAGTGGCATGGCAGCTAGGCGCCGGTTATTTTGGGTTAATGTTCGTTTGCAAGGCCAGGGATTCGAGTTTGGCCCCATCACCACGGTGGCCTGGGCAACCGTCGTTGTTCCCTCCGGTTGCGTCAAGTCGGTACCGCGGTTAACGAAGGCCAACTAGTTCATGAAAAAATGGTTCAGCTGTAGTACCCTTTCGGTGCCTAGCTACCATGCTACCGGAAGGAAGCACGAGGCCTGGGATATTGCCAAGTTGCCCAAGCCTAGACAGAGGTCGGGTTCGAACCACAGATCTTCCGGCCAGTAAATTCGCGCTCTAACCACTGAGCTATCTCGTCCAACCAGTTCATGGGTGCTTCGGGACTATCTGCAATGAACAATCTTCTTTTCTAGTCACTGAATATCAGCATATTAGGAAGCGAGTAGTAGCTCCAAATTGCACAAAACGTCCAATTGGGAAATGAAAAACATCCTAGACGCAGGTCACATGAAACAGAAATAGTCTAACATCAGGTTAATCACACTGCTAATCAGCCAGGGGCGCGGATTTGAAACTACCTTGTGTTTCGCGGGGTGCTCACCGCTGACGATTCCCGACAGGGATGAAGGAGCCGTACAGTGCTTTTAGGATGGCATAGATGGATGGACAGGACGAAATCTCAAGTGGGAAATAGTTCTGTCCTGACCACAAAGAAGGAACACGTTGTTTGTAGACAGGCATGAAACGATTTGTATGCACCCGCGTCTCGGTTCCACATTCACCTAAGCAGCTGATAACAGGTTGGACGGACAAAACCAATTGGAAAGAGAAAGGGCCAGCTGCCCGCAATAGCCATAATGTGTTGAGGATCAGAGGGATAGGAAACTAGAATCAGCTGAAAGCGGGAGTAACCACAGTTTCTTCCACTTGACCTAACTGGAAATAGTTCAGATTAAATGGGGAGTGTTGACCGGGCTAATATTACTTATCCGGATAACAGTCCCCCATGAGACGTGTTGTCCCCTGATCCATGAGAACCAGCTTCGACTGACAGAGTCGAAAATGCAAATATCTCATTCTATAGCAAAAGTCAGTCTATACAACTCGACATGTATGACCAATACTTACTCNACCCTTCCGGTGCCTAGCTGCCATGCTACCTGAAGGAAGCAAGAGGGCTGCGATACTGCCAGGTTGCCCAAGCCTAGACAGGGGAGGTCGAGAGGTAGAGGTCGGGTTCGAACCACGGACCTTCCGGCAGTAAATTCGCGCTCTAACCACTTTGGCCATCTCGCCCCTTATGACAATTGCTCAACTGTAACACCCTTTCGGTGCCTATTTGCCAAGTCATCTGAAGGAAGAGGAGGGGGTCTGAAACACTGTCAGGTTGCCCCAGCCTAGACAACAGCAGTCAGTTGGGTTCGAACCTCGCGATCCGTAAGCTGATACCTTAATCACTGAGTTCGACCTAAATCGTACACTCCAGGAAACTTCACAGTCTATGGCTAACTACTATGAAAGAGCACTTGGCCAGGTCAAACCAATGCATCCGGATTGCACCCATCAACAACAGTAAAACTCACTCACCTCTTCTCGGACATCCGTGTCTTGTTCAGCCAAAGGAAACAGGATACGCAATGCACACAAAAGACTATGCGTCTCTTGTTTGAGCAAATTTGGCTTGGCTTTTACTTTGAAGCCTAAATAGGAGCGGGAGCGGGAGGGGTTGTGAGCACACTGTGAGAAGAGAGCAACTCTGGCCTCGTTTAAACTTGTAATCAATGAGAAACGGGTGATTGGGGAAGGTACACCCGCAAACTATAGGTAGCGTAGATAAGCCCCGATTGCGGAAGACCAATCTTGCTTGTCCTCGAGTAGTACCGAGTCATTTTCAGCGTTCATTCAGCTGGCATTCACCAGCTAGTTTCCACAAACATAACAAGTTTTCTCGGAAACATCCTTGTCAATAAAATATTTTAACCAATCTGGGTTAACATGTCACAGAGTGTGCATACTGATTACACAGTTCTGATTAGAACAAGAGGTCTGACGGTTTGGATGAGAACAGTCAGATAAACAAAAGAACTTATCCGTAAGACGAGAGGCAAAATGTGAAATGTTATCCGCAGACGTCTTAATCTAAACACGGCGACGCTGAAAAAACGCACGGTATCCGGATTGAAAAAACAGTTGTGTTGTTGGACCCACACGGTTTGGCATACGTTTCACACACCGCAAAATACCGCTACAAGACTGTGTGGGATCAAACCCACACCTCATGCTTGCAGGCGAGCCAATCGACGTGGCAGATAAATTGGTTCGCCTGGGAAGTTGTATAAGTGCCAGTGGACTGGCTGGAAATGAGATCACTTATCGGATCGGGAAAGTCAGGGAAGCTTGTGATAAGCTTTGACCCCCATGGCGCTGAAGTGACGTCAGTTTGTGTCAAGAGAAGAGTTTACACTGCGGCGGTGCGATTTATACTGCTTCACGGATCAGAGACGTGGCCTCTATGCGCAGAGGACATACGTAAGATGACAGTGTTTGAACATCGGTGTTTGCGAAGCATTGGTCAAGTCTGATGGAAGTGTCGGATTAGTCATCTTGAGAGAAGAAGGAACTCTCCTACGATAAATGAATTAGTTACGCATCATACTCCGCATGCCAGATGACCGTCTGCCTCACAGAGCTTTTTTTGCCCAGCGCTGCACTGAGTGAAAGCGAACGAGAGGTAGACAGTGTATGACCTAGCAACAAAGTATGGAAACACTAACTAGTAAGCTGAGCTGAGTCGAAAACTTCCGCGTTCCTTGATGGAGGCCTCTGAACTCAACTTACCAATGGTTAATCGCACTGGCAGGAATGGCCTAATCGCATATTTAGTGGCGCTCGTGCATCAAAGTTTTTGCCTTCAATGCGTAGCTACCCAGTTCCCGAACTAACTGATCATGCCATCGCGTTCAATGTTTGGCTGCATCTCCCGCTCTCTGCCAGTCGTCGGTGATGGAAACTGTAGCAGCTGGAACCAATGTGCCCATGGGACACGATTTATGGCTGGTAAACTGATTGCATTGTTGGAAAGTGAATAGAATTCGCCAGAAGCACGCACGCTTATTTTATTATATGAGCAGCGACGGGGTGCCCGTCGTTGATTCTACCCACATGATGGACTACCACCTCCGATCTCGCGAAAAAGTCCAATTGTCTATTCCCCAAGCTGCAGTGATTCATCCAACTGTACAGCTTCGCCTCGCACGGAGACAGGCCTGTTCCCTTATTGGGGAGGCCAGCCGTCCCTAATAACCAAACGTCACAACATTTATACAGGGACATGCCCTGATTGGTCAGAATGCCAGCCAATCCGGATCGACGCTTGTCGTTCCCTCACGGAGATTCTAGCACGACCTTGTGGAAAACTCTGTGACTACCCTATAAATACGGTTCGAATAATTTGCCTTTGTCTCCATAAAGGACTGTGTAGAGCTACCTTGCCTTTTGATATGTACCATAGTGGGCAGAGCAGGAAGCCAAGGGACCGATACAGAGTTGCACTACCGTACGACAAAACACAACATCCCTAAAAATAGCGTTGTCAATCATCTGAGAATACCTAACAGGGATGTTCACAACACAGCGTAGACCGCCCAACACTCAGACTGAAACACACGTACGCACAAATACACATAACCGGGTGTATCGGACATACCCGCTTCAAACAAGATATTACGTTGCTCGTCGTTCGAATTGAACTTCTTCGCAAACGCATGTGATTCCAACAGACATCGAGCCAACGCGAGTCGATGCTGCGGCGACAGACTGGAATACATGCCACGAGGATCTGGGGGCAACGGTCGGGCACCGACCATCACACGTGCTCCACTTGGACCGAGCCATAGGGATTCCGGACTGGCAGGAATCGTTTCGTCAGCGTCCAGCGTTTCGTCAGGAGTCCATATATGATCTGTCGACGGACTTCTGGATGACGCAACCGGACGACCATCTACAGTGAATAAGAAAGTGGTGATGCAGGGAGAGACAAACACCGCCATGGATTGCAAACACGAATGAGCCACAAAACAAACTAACCGGAATGTTTGTCACCAATTGATGATGATGCCAAGGCAGCAGCGTAAGCAGGATACGACGAAGCAGCGAGTGCGCGAGATTCGTTCAAATAGTAAGCGTCCTCGTTTCGACTATGTGAAGAGTAGAACAGAATGTGATCCACAGCCTGGATGAGCTCATACTGGACCACACATTTGATCAGAAGGTCGGCAAATAAGCGAGCCTGGGCGAGGTAACGCGGAACACCGGAAGAACCGTTCACATCTGCTGCCTCAGGTGACTGTGACTGAGCACGCGAGTCCTGGAAAATTTGGGGGAATCGAATCAACACCCATTGCGAAAGAAAGAGAGAATATCGTACCGGCCAACAAAACGGGTGATTGATCCGAAAACATGGAGAGAAAGTTCGGTTAATTTGGTCTGGCTTGGATGCAGGTGTGATAGCGCTGTAGTGAAAGGAACTGCATTCACTCAGTCTCTCTCCAAGAAAGTAAAACTACTGATAGGATTGCCTACACTGGACATTACCGCAATTTTCAACGATCTAGTAGTCACACCTAGCATATTATCAATCCAAAACATTTATTTTGTTCAGAAAGGATGACAGGGCGTACTAATCAATACGGGAAGCTTCATCCTTTAAAACAGATTCCAACAGAGATGATACACAGATGTGAGTAATAGCAAGAGGCAAAATTTGTCTGCCAGTCGTTCCATGCCAATTAAGGGTCGTTAGAGCAACCACACAGGAAAAATAACGCTACAAGCCATTGGAGAAAACCAAGTGAAGTTACGCTGATGGTGGTCTCCTTTTGGAGACCACTTGTGAAGCTTGCGTTGAATTTAGGGAACCTGGAAAGGGCAGATCCCGGTGAGAACAAACGTCGTGACCCGGGAAACCAATCAATAAACTGGCTTGGGCCGCCTTTGGAAAATTTCATCTTATTGAGAAAAGCACTGCCGTTCCACACTCTGTGCTGATGGGTCAAGTTCGTTTGAATATGATTTTTCCAGCTCTGGTTGGTTATTTGGTTGTCTGCGTCCAAGGCTCCGATCGTTTATCAGTATTGCTGACTAAAACAAATGAACTGTGCTGACCTTGGCCTGCTGTGACCTTCAGTTGTACACTGAAATAATTCGCTGATTGGTCGGAAAAACTTGAACTGAACGGAGACGGCTTGTGAGGTTTTGCTGTCATCGCAGCCACTTACAACCATTTACTAATTTTTCGAAACATTTTCATTGAATGAAAAAAACAACCACTCTACCAGTCCAAAATACAACCAGGTGGACGTATTTGCCCGAAAAAATTTAAAGAGCAACCTTATGAGTAGTGTGTTACGTCTATACAATGTATTGCGTGCTAACTGAAACGTGAAGCGCTCTTTGTGCAGCACATTCATTTGTAGAATATCATAAACGAGAGATTCAGTTGAGTCTCTCGTGAAAACCAGATTGATTTACAAATGAGTGTATTTCTCGGAAACAGTACAATTTGGGTTCAAGTAGAACATAAACTCGGGCACTGAGCCTACCTGGTGAGCTCCAATAAGGATGAAACCGATCGTGGGCTGCAGCAGCTTTAGAAGCGGTGTGTAACGCTTACACGATGGCTTGTTTTGTTCCAATACCCCAGGAAGGAGAGAAGACAAATGGTAGCATGTTAACATGTAAACTAGCCCTCAATCACATCCGTAAAACCCGAAGGATTATGCAGTCTCAAAACACTGCACGCCACGTTTTAAGGACAGATCACAGGGGGTCACGAAAGTCAAAAAGTCCAATGAATGAACCAATATCATGTGTCCATACCACGCAAGCTGATGTATCCCGATGAGTAAGTGAATGATAAAATCGTTGGGTCGGGTTCAAGAATGGTCAACCATATAATCTGTTATGGCGGAGTGTCTTGATGTGGACGACGCGGGATTCCAGGTGTTGGTTTGGGTACCACTAGTTCTCCTGGTCATTGTTTAATGCAGTCGAAGGCGTGTTTAACTGGTCACAGCTGTGTTCTGTCTATGTGACCTATAACCTGACGTCACCTAACGGAACCTAGCTAAGGCCTGGAGGCATTCCAACCACCTAACCGATTTATTTTGGAATCAGTGGATGTAGAAGTACCGCGAAACCTTGCAAGAGATGCCTAATTTGCTTAAACAAGGAATGAACCTGAAGGAAGGCGACCTTGTCTTTCAAACGGACCTAGGCGCGCACTTCAGTTTTGATTCGTAGCACTTGCCGCTCTGTAACGCTCAGACCAAGACTGTGGTTAGTTTCCATTACCTCTCAATTCAGAAATACCTCGCATACGTACTGAACACTTTCTATGCCATTAACCCAGTATTTCACCTATTTACACTAACTGCCGGTATCCAAAGCCCCGATGCCTCGCTGTCCCCCGTTTCCCCTGCCACCAACTGCGCCTTTGTTGATTAGCTATGTAAACTCCGGTCGGCCAAGTACCATACCGGATAAGTAAAGCTATCGGTTATAAGCAGTTGTTCTTAACTAACTGACCGGCAGGTTCTTAGTTCGAACACAACTCCGGTTGCTCGACTCCTCCTGTCTACGCCGGGCATCCTGGAAGTGGCTAAGGCCTCGTGCTTCCTTCGGGTAGTATGGCGGCTACACCCTCATTCGTTTGCTCCCCTACCTACGGAATACCAACGGTGTTCGGTCGATAGCTCAAATCATCCGATATGATCCTAAGCCAACCGGATCTTATACAGTGCACCCAAAAACCAACACTTATTTTGCGTATGCATTGCGTTTGAGGTGTACGCAACGAGAGAACAGAGAACCCTATCATCATCATTAGAAAAAAATAAGTAAATGATTGTTCACTGGCAGCAACCTTTTCGTGCCTAGCTGCTATGCCACCCGAAGGAAGCACGAGGGATGGGATACTGCCAGGTTGCCCAAACCTAGACAGGGGACGTCGAGAGGCAGAGGCCGGGTTCGAGCCACAGACCTTCCGGTCAGTAAATTCGCGCTCTAACCACTTGAGCCATCTCGCCCAAGCCTAGACAAGAGCAGTCGAGATGCTGTTGCTGGGTCTGAACCACGGACCTTCCAGTCGATGCATTCGCACCTTGACCACACAGCTATCTCGTCAGAAATACGTCAGTGATAAACACTACCACAACAAGAGAAAATTCCGATAAAGAAGGGTGTTCCTGAAGAAGAATCCTTCCCGAAATTCACCCAACACAAGGCCAACGCACAACGATAAACAGACATGAGCCAGTCGGTTGGACCAGGAAGGGATAAGAGGATTGCCACTGGACTAGCTCACACACCACGTACCCTAAGGACATCAGGATGAATAGCATAGATCGGAACCAGGAAAATACGAAAGTCGCTTTGACTGACGCACCATTGACTTCGCGTTGCCACATCACGGTCTTCGTTTTGCGAAAGTTCCACCGACGGGGCGTTAAAATGAAAACAGCGCTTTTGGTAGATGACTGCTCATTTATTTACACATAAACCAATGATCGGTCTAAGTAAGACCTTTGGTGAGCACCACGATCGCCCAAAACGAAGGGAGAGCGGTTGATCGTTCTCTCTGGAGTTGCAGTTTATAATGCGGGTTACACATCCATACTCTTTCACAGAAATCACGTGGTCCCCTGGGCGAATGCAAAAACCGAAAAGCATTGCACGTCACACTTCTCCGAATACAAGATGAAACGACAGCGCTAGTCATAGTTCCTACTTAACATACGAATGTTTTTGAACAGATTCCGCGTTCTTTTTGAAACGTTTGGACAAACGGAGCTCGTGGTCAATTAGCGCGTGCGATTCCATGATACTGACTTACCGGCTTCCAGGTGAGCAGTTGATGGGGAACACTGGCTTCAAACAGTCCAACAATCAGGTTAACAGTACGATCCCATATTTCGTGAGTGAACCGTTTGCCCGTAGACAGGACCAATGTCTCCAAGCAGCTTGTCCCCGAGCGAGCCAGCTGCTCGTGTTCCTGCAGACAACACCAACGTAGCTGACCGTAGACTTCCTCTGCAAGATGGTAGAATAGTGGGAAAATGTCAGCGCCATGGATAGTACACAGAGAATTCGCGGCAGAAGATAGATTTACGTGAGTTTATGGGTCATAGACTCGCCCACCAACTGCGCCCAGATGCGGTGGAGCGAAGGCAATCTTTTTATATATTTTTGGCTACTCACTGCCTAAAGTAGTTTGAAAAAAGGGTATGATATTTGAAAATGAAAATCCTGGCTCAAAGAGAGCTGCCTACTCGATGGACAGCAAAACCTCAAGATGCCTGAGTTGTTTAAGGAACGCCTTTGCTGATTCACGTATTCCCAATCGAAAGTCAAGACAACGTGTTCCCGCAAGTAAACTGACAAGAGCCATTCAAACACAGACGTGTCGATTCAAAACGACTGGTCTGAAGAGGGTCACTTCAGGTGACAAGCATTTCCCACAAGGTTTAGTGTCTCTGGAGAGGACAACTCCGACAAACTGAAGATATCGAAAGTTCATTCCGGTAGATGCATTCTCCAAAAACGCCTACACATCTGTCTATTCATTTTACTGTTTTGAATCTACTTTCCGGGTCGCTGGATTTTCGGCTGTCGGTAGTTGATGGAACATTTATTGCCTGGTTCTGTGACAGGAAGTGAAACGAAGCATACGAACAAGACAAACATCACAATATAACGTTAAGTTGACCGAAAAGACAGTATAACTTCTGAACGGTCCTCCAAATGTTTGAATAAGACTACCGTTTTGAATACCAATGAGGTCTGCACACATTCGGACTGTAAAGCAAGAACAACTCGCTCAGGGAAATAAAATAAGTAAATAATCGTTCAGCCCTTTAGGCGCACAGCTGTGATGACACCCGAGGTATTGTCAGGTTGCCAAAGCCTAGAACAGGAGCAGTCCAGATTCAGAGACTGGGCTTGAACCATGGACCTTCCGCCGAGTACGTCCGCGCCTTATCCACTGAGCTATCTTGGACGGACACCATGACGTACTAGAACTGGAGTGACAGATTCTCACCAAAGTGTTGAGAAATAACGGAGTCGTCGACAACTTACTTCGAGGAACATATGGAATGAAGCCCCCCCCCCCTATTATCACCACACCCGAAGGAAAATCAATCTACCGTGACCTTCGGTTAAAGGGCAATTTCTTCATGGGTGTACAGAAAACAACCGTTTACAGTACAAGCAGGGTTTTCCCAACAAAACACTCCGAATTCGGTTCACAAGCACAACACCCGAGGTATTGTCAGGTTGCCAAAGCCTAGAACAGGAGCAGTCCAGATTCAGAGACTGGGCTTGAACCATGGACCTTCCGCCGAGTACGTCCGCGCCTTATCCACTGAGCTATCTTGGACGGACACCATGACGTACTAGAACTGGAGTGACAGATTCTCACCAAAGTGTTGAGAAATAACGGAGTCGTCGACAACTTACTTCGAGGAACATATGGAATGAAGCCCCCCCCCGGCCCGGTATTGACCACACCCGAAGGAAAATCAATCTACCGTGACCTTCGGTTAAAGGGCAATTTCTTCATGGGTGTACAGAAAACAACCGTTTACAGTACAAGCAGGGATTTCCCAACAGAACACTCCGAATTCGGTTCACAAGCACACGTCTAGTTTAGTTTAGCCTCAAAGATAGAATGCATGTCCACACTCACAACATGTCGGTATCCCTTGGGAAATGTTTGAGAAATAATCCGTAGGTTATCGAATCGGAGACGTTCGGAACGTTTGCTAACGTTTCGCTTCTGCCGTAAAAGCGAAGAAGGACCAATCAACAAGATCCCTTCCTACGGACAGGTTGGATCAGGTGTTGACTAGAAGATTTCCTTTATTGGTGTTGGGCACCACTGGCTAGTGGGGGGAGCGAAATTACAGGAACTGGGGAGTCAGAATCTGGGTCTACAGGTTCGAATCAACCATCCCTTCCTACCATCTTTGTCGGTCCGAATGGGTAGGCTAATGCTACGACAGTTGGGAAAAGAGGAGAGATCGCACTAATTTCGGTCGGATTGGGCTTCCTACCACTTCCGCCAATGATTTCACTTCAGTCAAAACCATAAAAAGTCATGTGACAGCTCGGGTTATCTAAACCTGACCTTCATACACTTGCCAATTCTATGCTTTCTATTCTGTTCCATCTACACTGAGATGTCTGGGGCATTAGCTACTACGATGTGAATCCTAGTCCCTGTCTTGGAACTTCCACAATTTCCAGTTCTACTTCATGCCTTACACATGTTTTGTCATCGCCGAGCTTTTGAACAGCATCCGACACTCGCGTGCAGTTCTTGATGGGTGGGTTGTTCCCCATTTCAGGTGTGCAGTTCTTGGTTCGTTTGCCTCATGAGCGTCTTCGTTAAGGCGTTGTATTTGACTTTATACTTCCGGTCTCCAGTCTTTTCGATCTTCTTCAATTGTACCAACACTGGGTGTTCTTCCGTAATGTTTTTCCCTTCCGATGTTGACTGTCTTCAACAGTCGTTGGATAATCTCACACGTTCCTGCTTTGTATGAACTGTCCGTCGTATCAATCTATTCCTTACTTGGTCTTGACACCAGAGCCAATATCATTCTTAACTGCCGTCTCATCAAAATCCACTTTCGTGATTTTTGTTTCTAACCCGAATTTGTGCTCCGACTAGGTCGATTTTTTCTGTACCCAGTATTCAGACTCAACTAAACATTGGTGAGGTAACCCTGGCGTACACCACCTACGTACGGCAGGGCCAGCAGGTTAAGATGACTCCTGTGTCTGTCAGACACAAGGGACGTGTGTATCAAGCTACAGTACGGGCTGTTTTGTTGTATGGCTGTGAGACGTGGCCTATTCGAGCAGTGGAACTGAGACGTCTTCAGGTGTTCGACAATCGTTGTCTCAGAACCATAGAGACGAACGAACAACGGTGCACACTGGCTACGGTCATGCGCTGACCAAATACCGTTTATGTACAGTACTAACTTTCGAAACAACCGAGGTCAATTGGCCGCATGGTAGCCCCCGAGTGCGAGCCAACCTGAAATACAGATACACCACATCGTTACTACCTATAGATGGAATGGAGGAATTATTGACTGTGACCGTTCTGAAACACTCATGTGAATTCGGATCACATGCTTGTTCGTTGCTGCTTCCTGTTAAGGTCGGTGTTACTCGCCTTCCAGGAAGGGGACCGCGTGATCCTCACTGTGGCTGGTGGGGGACTACAAGATAGGGCTGCCAACCAACGTCAGTGGGGTTCTTGTTGTCAGTTTCTATCTAGATCGCCTGAGTGAGACTCTGGAGGTATAGGCACTTCGGAATGATTGTACTAAGCTAGCATTAAGTCCCTCCCTTCTTTACAATAAGGCTTTCAAATAGATCATGGTTGTACGGCAGTGAAGCTTTGGTGTTGAACACTGATGCTGTCGGTGATGGTGATGATGATGATGATGAGTGATTTCGATTTCTGACCACTTTTACCTGGAACGCAGTTCAGAGAGGTTAGTGTGACTGAATTCCCGCTCTCTGGTACGGAAAGAGAAGTAAGCCATCTTGACGGTCATGTTTAATTCCAAAACGTCCAACAATTCACCCCAGGCTGTGAAATCTCCCAACGTTGTCCCAACTGTTTCATACGAACCACTTTCACCCGATGGTACAGCTGTAGCACCTTTTCGATGCATAGCTGCCATGCCACCTGAGGGGAGTGCGACGGCCGTGATACTGCCAGGTTGCCGAAGCCTAGACAGGGGATATCGAGAGGCAGAGATCGGGTTCGAACTACGGATCATCCGATTAGTAAGGTTTCGCCTTAACCAGTGAGCTACATCGAGCAAGACAGGACAGGGAATACCCTGACTACCAACGAGGAGAAGCGTGGTCTTCAGTAAGTGAACATTCTCACATACTGACTAGCATTCATTGTACTGATATTTTCCATAGCATTGCGTTGCAAGAACAGTCCAGCACAAATTGTTGGCCAAGTCCGTTCAAGAATTACCCACAAATGAGACCAGATAGTGCTTATGACAACAGAACTCTGGCTACACCAGCGACCGTAACTCAAGGTCAATGGCCTAGGTATGTACGCTGGGCCAGGAAATGTTCGACTTTCCTGGACAGAGAATACAACCAGAGAAATCTCGTCACCATTGAAATAGCCCTCCCCCCGTGGAGAGGATTTCCTCGCGTGCAAGTGGACAAATGAGGACGAAACAACCCACGCGCTTGAACCTTTCGGGATCCGTCCCTATCTTTTTTATTGTTGTGGACCGCAGTTTGCTTAATGCCTTCTTAATATCATGAAATCGAGTCTGGCTAGCAGTTCGATAGCCTGATGCGCCTAGCCTAACCAGAAAGTCAATGAATGTGCGAATCAGCTGATCCACTGATCACTGACGCCTACAGACGTGTCGTGTGCAGCCGGGCTGTTTATACAGCTCACGTTAAAAGTTCTAGGCGGGCCAAAAAAAGCTACTAAAAATAGAACTCATCTGTCAAGGGCAAGTGAATAACAGCCACTTAGATATGTCTCAACAAAAACGGTTATTCCCTTGGCAGTTGTGTAGTCCAGTTACGTTCGGAGCTGGTTGTCCTAATACTAGGGAACATCTGATTAGATTCGAAAGTCAGTCCACGTTGTCTGATGACCACGTCTTGGGATTCTCCAGGACCAGTGATCATCACGACTCTGACCTTGACATCTGAGACGACTTACCCAGTAGTATGTTGGACAGTGTATCATAATACTGCGTAAAAACATCCACGATGGAGAACAGGGTATGATTGCAGGTTGTGTTCATCCACTCGGTCTGCTCCATCGATGACAGACTGTTATTATATGATGAAGAGTTGGTGGCGGCCGCGGCGGACGAGGAGGACTGGTAATGACTGGACAAAGATGGGGCCCGAAAGTGCTGGAACACGCGGAAAATTATTGTGAATGTTTCGCGCCACCACAGTGGTTTGAACTGATCTCCGTAGGTCTTGAGTATGTCGAAGAATATTGTGAGACCCCGAGTACGGACGTCTAGCTTGCAACTAATGTGGAGGGTACATAAAAAAGGGAATTGTGAGAAGGGGGCTTCGAACGAAAAGCGACAGGTTTATCTAAGGGTCAGTATGAATCCATCAGATTGCAATGGTCAACAACAATGTGTTTTTCAAAACAGGAGGTAGGCCTCAAACCCGTATGTGATCGATGAATCCGTAATGATTAGAAAACTGATCGAATTGTGAGACGCCGATATAATGGGGGGTTGAAATCAAACAGGTAGAATATTCATTCGTACAGGCATGCACAGTGATACCTGAGTGAAATTGATAGACTACGAGCTACTGAACACTCGCCAGTGAGGTGCCGCGCTGCCAATTGAGCAACAACAGTTCGAATCGAAAACAGGGTGAGTTTGAACATAAGAAAGGGGCGAACATGTTAATTCTGTCTTTAAAATGAGCCACATGATCGTATTCGATCATACATGGGATGAAGAACAGGGAATGCGCGGTTCGATTCAATAACTAGCAAAAATTGCCCCCACCTGCACAACAACGTCAGCAGCCGATAATTGGATGGAGAATTGTTGGTGCAAGAATTTAAGCCCAAGGTCACGGTTTACTTACTTGATCAGCAATCACTCTGATATATACTCTCATACTCTCTAGTATAAACCATATTCAACCATTAATGATGTGTCTTTTATGAACCGTGAATTGTGGAGAAACTGGAAAATGCACTCCATCACCATTATCATCATCGACAGCATGACATCAGTGTTCAACACCGATGCTTCACTGCCGTACAACCATGACTTATTTGAAAGCCTTATTGTAAAGAAAAGAATAAAGGTGGATGGGGGAGGGACTTAGTGCTAGCTTAACACAATCATTCCGAGGTGCCTACACCTCCAGACATTCACTCAGGCAATCTGGATAGAAACTGACAACAAGAACGCCACTGACATCGGTTGGCAGCCATATCCTGTAGGAAAATGCTCTGGATTGAGTAGACATCGATGCGAAAGCTCAAGGTAACCGATTTTGGTGCACATTGTTGCGATGAGTCATACATAGTAATAGCAGGAAGAAATTAGTATTCTAGTTCTTCTCATACGCCGTTCGTCAAAAAAGAAAGGCTCGTCTCCTAGGTGAAATACAAGAGGGCGTAACTCCATCCCACTCCGTCCGCGTCTTACAAACTTTCCCAAAGTTTTCAGCTGGCCGGGAACCAGCCAGCAGTTTAGTCGAATAACCCCGAGAACGCTTAGACTACGTTTAGTCAAATAACACCAAGAACGCTTGGATTATTGGTCGGTTAGATAACCCCCGTTTGAACTGAACACCCAAAGTGGCAACACGAAGGATGTCGGAATGGACGGTTCCACGTTTTCCCGAGCTCAAAACTGTTAACTTGATAGAGGAGGCATGCGCTACAGTCTAGCTTACTTAGCATGAGTCACGTCAAGTGTTTTTGATAAGCAAGTCCTACCAAGGAGGGAAAGCTGGGTGAGTGTGCCGTCCAAGCTGTAGGAGACGATGAACAGTTCCAGAACAGGGCAAATTTCAGTGGGGGAAACTGATCCGCCATCATACATTGGATATGTTTGATCCTTCGTCGAATGCTGAAGGTGAACTTTGTGTAGCTACAGTACCAACGGTTTCATGATGACAGTTCTCAAGAGAAGAACGGAAAAGTGAAGAGGCGTCCTGCTGCATAGAATTCAACAGCTGAAATACGGATAAGCTATGCCGCTCCTGTTCTATGGAAACATGTGCGTCTTTCTAGGATTTCGAACCTACAACAACTGCTCAAAGTTTCACACATGTCGATGTCAAAGGGAGCTACAACCAAACAGACGTGAAGCTTAGCGATAGTGGCACAGAAGTGTGTTGGCAGCGCGTGAATTTCAATCGAACTTCGCGAACAGCGCGCCCTCAGTTGAACCGTGTTTGGAGAGAGAGAGAGAGAGAGAGAGAGAAAGTCAACAAAGTCCCCACTTAGAACGGATCATTTAGTTGCATTCAGAGCAAAAGAATAGTCTCGTTCAAGCTTTACTCCAGTAAGACAAGGTCTACTTGATGAGACCGAGACAAGTGGGATATCCGCAAATTTCGAATGATCTCATACATCAGAAGATTCGCCCAAAATGGCCCCTTTCAATGATCTGAGTTCTAGGATAGGTCAGACACCGATTGAGGATTCGTTTTCCGACAATTTTGTTGTCAGTAAATCTACCTGGAGCCATAGAGAAACGACGTCAACAAGACAAACATACGATCGTTAACGATTCGTTAATATCGCCTGGATTGTCGACAAACTGAATGACGACCGATGAAGCGCGAAGAATGAAGGTGGCTGCCCGCTGGTCTGGATGCCACACAGTCACTACTATACGCTACGGCTAAGTCGTCGGTTAAAAACGCACACATCTTGCGAATCATAGCAGACCATCCGTCATCTCACCATCACGCGGAATCATAAACCGATACCGTCACTATGGGTATACGATGACGCTGACAAGCTAGATAAGGTACAATCTCGATTTACAATTATTGCGCCATATTAAACTGGTCCTAGTTTCAATCGATCATTCCAACCAAGGCTATTGTGTCCTTTAACTATCTAACCGAAATTACGACTATGTGGTAGAGAGACATGCCAGTCACGCAAATCCTCTGGTTAACAACACCGAATGAGTTCACATGAGCGGGAAACCACGTTAGCCTTCTACGGGCAGCTCTCTCTCTCTCTCGATCAGCCATACGTAGCCTAGCTGCCATGCTACCCGAAGAAAGCACGAGGGCCGAGATACATCCAGGTTGCCCGAGCCTAGACAGGTTGGGTTCGAACCACGACCATTCCGATCAGTGAGCTCGTGCCTTAACCACTGAGCCATCTAGGCTTCAGTTCTCTTGGCGAATAGGTTTGGAACTGTGCTGTTGAAAATAGGCAGTTTGAGCTGCAAAGCTTACATGGATGATTATCACGTCATTCAAACACACACAGGCATCTAGTATGTCCACGGAGTTCATAAGGATCTAAGAGAATCGGTCAAAGTGACAGTAATGCTGATGAATGGCTCCAGTTTACATGGGCCAATCGCTTTCAAGAGGCGATGGCTAATTTCAAGCTATTCTTTCAGCTACAACGCTAAGGTGGACCCACTCGGTCAACTCAGAATCTTTCAGGTACACAGAGAGCCATTGCTATGAATCTGTTTGCAACCACTGCTTCACATTTGGTGTAGAGGTCTGTGTATCACAGAATGCTTCCTGGTGGTTTTACTTGAAACAAGGGATTCAGCTTAAGCGGCCCTTACCTCTTGACACCCAACACCAGACGACAGAGCGGACAGTATAGATTCTTCAAACCCAACAACCATCGGCTCTGGCATAAAATCCGGTTCTTCTGAAGGGAGAGCGTGCCTCATTCACATAGACCTCTCGGCGAAGACTACAGACCCTCGAGTCGGCCGAAATCCTACTATTCTTGGAGACGCTCAGTCTTGATGGGGAAAATCATTCAGCTGTGACACCCTTCCGGTGCCTAGCTGCGATGCCACCCGAAGGAAGCACGAGGGCTGGGATACTGTCAGGTCACCCAAGCCTAGACAGGGGAAGTCGAGAGGCACAGGTCGGGTTGGAACCACGGACCTTCCAGTCAGTAAATTCGCACTCTAACCACTTGAGCCATCTCCAGCGGTCTGCCTTGATGGAACCCGTTCCTAGGTGTAATTTCGTAGCACCTGTCCGTACAGCTGAGGAAAACGCCTTCAACTGTTCAAGCAATTCAGCAGAAATACAAAAAACGGGATATCGTCACCAGGATGAACAAAGAACCGAAAAACAATCTAACATCCCTATCATTAGTCGCTTTGCGAAATGAATCTGAAGCTATTGCGAAACAAGGCTGAAAGGCACAAAGAACTAACAAAAGAAAAGAACCGTAACGCTACTAGCATAAGCTTTCGCCGGGTTGGTTGTGATTTCTATTATCGACTGTACTCCACTTTACAATTCCACAGAATGATGCGCTTACTGGTTTGACTCCCCGCAACCTGCCCGACAGTCGCTAAGCTGTAACACCTGTCTAGCTGACATGCTACCTGAAGGGAGCGCGAGGGCGGGATACTTTAAGTTTGCCCAAGCCTAGACAGCGGAAGTCGAGAGGCTGCTTGAGGCGGTGTTCCAGGACTGCTTCAGTCTAGAGTCATGTTTTATACTTTTCACTTCGGGCTTTCGATAAGGAAGTGCGTCAAACACCAACCTTTGATGCATTTCTGTTTCCGAACAAACGTTTTCCGGATGATTGCTACCCATATGAGATTACACAAAATAGCAACAAAAAAACAAATTAGTTTGCAACTGAGTATATTTCGCTAATTTCGTGCAATTTGGCTTCTTGAAACTCGGGAACTGCGCCTACCTGATGAGCCCCAGGAAGGGCGAAACCGGTCGTGGGCTGTCGACGAGTTTTCAGCAACCTTATGAGTAGTACATTACAAATATATACATGTATCGCAATATCTCGATTATCGTAGCGACTGAAACATGAGACGGCCTGGCGCAGCACATCCAGTTGCATGGAGACATCACAAACGAGAGATTCAGCTGGGCTTCAGGTGAGTCTCTCACAAAACGAAATTTGTTTACAATTCGGTTTCAAGAACATAAGCTTGACAGACACTCGTGGACTGCGTCTATCTGATGAACCTCAAGGAGGGCGAAACCGGTTGTGAACTGTCGACGAGTTTTCAGCAACCTTATGAGTAGTACATTACAAAATATAAAAATTATAATTGTCTAGCCGTAACACTTTTCCGATGCCTAGTTGCTATGCCACTCGATGAAAGCACTGTAAGGTTGAACGAGCAGTCGAGATGCCGAATCACGGATCCTACGGTCAGTAAGTTCCGGAACTATGGGAGTCTTGCTCTAAAGTGCGTAATTGGATTCCGTCCATGGCATTATTATTACAAGTGATGGCATCCAATCAGTGGCTTCCACTTGGATACTGGTTATTCTGAACCCATCTGAGCATCGGAAGTTGTAGTTTTGGGTATGGGGTACCATATGCACAGGAGAACGAGGCTGCTTTTTACTTGGAAGTCGTGGGGATCAACACTGTATAGACATACGAAGGGACACACACATTACCTGTTAATGACTCGGAACAATTCACACAGTACCGGCATCCAGCCTTTCAGCCACACGTTGTCTTCGTCAGCCGCGGAGGTGGTCATCGGTTCGGAGCCCGTAGAACGCCGTACAACAGGACTAGAGATGGTAACGAGGTCTTTGGAGGTGAGCTGGGGTTCGATAGCAACAGTACTAGAGGGAGACGACTGTAGATTGGCAAACGCGGTTCGGTGTTGGGAGACCAGGTGGGCACAGAGACGCGTTAGTCGGATGCTTTCCATGGCCATATCCGGAAAGTGGGGATTACACGCAAAGTCGTTCAGAAGCTTGACCAATGGCTGGATGAGGGTAGTAACAAAGATTGAGACGATAAAAAAGTATGCAGCAGAGCAAAAACTTGAAAAAATAGTGTGGACACTCACCCTCCCATTAGGGTAGGGGCGAGATGGCCTAAGTGGTTAGAGCGCGAATTTACTTACCGGAAGGTCCGTGGTCAGAACCCGACCTCCGCCTCTCGACTTCCCCCTGTCTAGGGCAGCCTGACAGTATCCCAGCCCTCGTGCTTCCTTCGGGTAGCATTGCAGTTAGGCACCGAAAGGGTGCTACAGCTGAAAGATCTCATCCTTCCCATTAGGATAACGCTGAGGCTCGGATGCGCACCGGACAGCAACTAACTCCCAAAGGAGAGTACCAAGTTACTTCAGAATGCTTGAACTTACAAGCCAATATGTTGTCAATGCATTACCGTAGTTAGGCACGAAAGGGTGCTACAGCTGAAAGATCTCATCCTTCCCATTAGGATAACGCTGAGGCTCGGAAGCGCACCGGACAGCAACTAACTCCCAAAGGAGAGTACCAAGTTACTTCAGAATGCTTGAACTTACAAGCCAATATGTTGTCAATGCATTACCGTAAGAATGTTTTGAGCCATTCCTTGCGTATCGTTTCTCAAAGCGGTGCTAATTTAGCAGTGTGTTCGGGACTGACGGAATGACCGTATTATGTGGCCATACCGTGATCAAGACGCCTCAATCACATTTCCAGGAGGGGTACAACCGAACGTTGTGACAACCACAACTTAGCGGTGTGTTCGGGACACACGGAATGACCGCATTATGTGGCCATGTCGTGATCAAGACGCTTTAATCACATTTCCGGGAGGGGTACAACCAAACAATCGTGACAACCAGGTCATTTTGCTAGTCGAACCATTTCTCGCACACGTTGTGGATCGCGGGGGGTCGGTGTAAACGATCATGGTCGTGATGCTCAACATGGATTGTGGCCTCTTGTAACAAAACAATGAGTAATGTATTGGGGTTGAATTAACTCAACTGAGTTGGTTACCGAGACAGAACGAAAGATCGATGATGTGGCCAAGGAATACGGATAACTGACGGGTCTGCAAAATGAGTGGATTGGACGACTAAAACCGACATGCCTGCTCCTCAGATGGAGCTGGCTGTGCGTGCGGAGGGGCCCTGTAGGGGCGTTGTCACGTGTCGACCAGCAGACCGCAACTGGTTGAAGCTCAAACTACGGTTGGGTGAGAGAGGTTTTCCCAAAACTCAGCTGCGACTCAGACAAGCGAGTTAAAACGCGATTGACGAGTCCCGTCCCTCGCCTCACTAATGGCAGAAAGCACATAACAGTGCACGAGAGAGAGAGAGAGTTATTTTTGCATGCACTGAGCCGCTAGGGAGAAAAACGCGACTGTCCTAGCAAAGCTGGTAACCGAATAACAATGAGGCCGGTTGTCAAGGCGACCGACCAGCAGCTGGAACATGGAGCAGTCACATGGCAATACGGTGGACAATCGACAATAAAAACCAATAACCAGAACGCACTGAAACAGAGAGCGAGGTGATCGGGACAGTATGGTGTGTGTGATTACTTCGACCCTAATCGAAATTGGGCAGGTTTGATTAACACAATTATAGGGCGATGAGCTTACTGGTACGATATCCGAACAGATATTTGGTAGCGTGGTTGATCGGACTTACTTGAAATGCATCCAACACCACAGAAATGTGATTGGCCAGAACTTCTGTTACCGTGAACGAGCAGGTCTCAAACGCCATATCGACCAGTGCCTCGTCAGAAGACGCAGCGACTCGATGGAGCACCGCAAAGATGTTAGTCCAACCGGAACGGATATTCATGTACTGCGAATGGACAAGCTGAGAGACACAGCGAATGACCATATCTTGAATTTTTCTGGTCAATGTCTGCTCGCTATCCAAAATGCTCACAAACGGTCTGAAGAAGGAGGAAGACAGGTGCGAAGTTCAGTTAACTGGGAAACGAGCAGTGCCATCAATTTATCGCTCAGAAACTAAACAAAGTGTGAGTCGAAGAACTGAACCATCGGGTTCATTGGCCAAGCAGTGCGTCAGATTCAAAGTGAGGTGAAACTGTCTACTTCAGTGAGCCAAGAAAAAAAACGGTCACGTGGCACAGTGTCACACGTGTCACACAGTTATGGTGTGGTGAACTGAGTGTGGCTGGCCTATGTCAAGCATTCTGACGTGCCTACCCCTTCAACTGTTCAATCAGACAATCTGGAAAGAAACTGACGGCACGAACGCCACTGATATCGATTAGCCGCCATTTCTTGCAGTCTCCAGCCAAGCACACACGGTGTCACGGGGACCCCATCCTGGAAGGCGTACAACACCAACAACATCCAAACTCTTCGTGATCTCTTTCACGCCTTTCTGACAAGTCATGCGCTGTCCACCTCGCGGTTTGCGCCATCTTGAAGAAGGCGCGGCGGATAACACTCGTTTCGGTGGACGGTGTTTCGGCATGTGTAGCACATGACCGAGCCATCGTAGTCGATGGTGCTAGATGTTTTCCCGGATTATAGTGCCTGCAGCGCAACCAAATACCTGATTTCTAATCACCTAGTTACTAACACGCTGACACCATCCACAACCAGCTACGCTTCTGAGGCATCGGT